ACAAGAATTGCTGGAAAGCAACCTGGCCAACCTGATATCAGCAGTAGCAATTTCCACAATGTGTCCATTATTGTAGGCCTTAACACTGAGAAAGACCAGATTAACCATCTCGGCAGTCAACAATTCGCTGAGGAGACAGGACAGCAGCTTACCCACTTCTATTCTATTGATACTATGAGTGATAATTCTCAGGCAGATATTGTTGAACTCTGCTTGATGCGGCAAAGAAAGCAGAGAAAGCAGGTATCCATTCCAGATAGACTCCAAGATGTAATTTGGAATTTAAGACATTCTGCTACTGAAGGTGTTGCTGATAAGCTATTGCTGTGTCTAGGCATGCCTGTGATTATTCGCAACAACAATGCTACCAAGCTGTGCATCACCAAAGGCCAAGAAGGTTTTGTAGCAGGCTGGCAGTCTGGTGTAGGGCCTAGTGGCCAGCAGATTTTGGATACCTTGTTTGTTTGCCTGGACAATCCAGCCTGTACTATTCAGCTGGAAGGATTGCCTGAGAATGTAGTGCCACTTACAAGATTATCTGGAAGTGTTGAATGCAAAGGTTTGAAAATGCCATTGACAATTAATCATTCACAGGTTTCAATATTGCCCAATTTTGCAATGACAGACTACTCATCTCAAGGAAAGACCCGAAAATTCAATGTTGTTAATCTAAACAGCTGTCGTAACCACATGGCATATTATACAGCACTTTCTAGAGGGTCTACTGCAGATGGTACAATAATTATTCAGGGATTTGATGATGAGTGCATTAAGGCTGGAGCATCAGGCCATCTAAGACAGGAATTTCAAGAGCTTGAACTACTAGATGAGATTACTCTGCAGAGATTTCTAGGAAAGCTCCCAAAAGAAATCAATAGATCTCTCCATAAAATTCTTCTCAAGCAGTACAGAGAGTTGAAGGGACAAAACTACTGTCCTATTAAGGTTGATTCTGCTCTACGATGGTCCTCCTCTGATCCACTGATGGTAATTGAGCCTGTCAATGATGCAAAATGGACTACTGCTATCAAGGCCAGTAAAGACTCTAAACAAATGCTTGCTAACTACATTCCTGCTCAAGGATCCAATCCTATTACTGCAGCAAAACAGACTGTGAAGCGGAAATTGAATTCTGACAACGATACTCAACCAGCTAAATGGCAGAAAACAAAGAATAAGTCTCAGGAAATGCCTCTTGGCTTGAAATGGGACTCTGTAGACTATAGCTGCTCATATGATTCTCTCTTCACTATTCTCTTTTACCTCTGGTCTGGAGGTCCAACAAAGTGGTCATTCCATCTATCAAAATATCTTCCCTATGGCCAGCAGCTTTCAAATGGATTTTCAGAAGTTATACATGGCAGAGCTGGATTTGAAGAAATTCGTGACAGAGTCAGAAAGAATCTACATACCAGAAGTCCTCAAGCATTCCCTTATGGGATGACTGGAACAGATGTACATGAGTTGGTAGGCACACTCTTTCAAGATGGACAACGGCTTGGGACTGGACAAAAAATATGCAAGTCTTGTTCTTCTACTACAGAGTTGGATACTCTCAGAGTCATATTTTTATC